ACCTTAATACTAAACCTGTAAATATAGGCACATAGATCTATTTCCCCATCCTCATATATAAATATATTTGCATATGTACATGTCGTTATCTAGACCTCTATAAATGCCCTTTGCCTCCCCACTCTTTCCTCTATTTCCCTTGACTTTGCTCCTGTTCCACTATCATGCTCAGTCCTAAAGAATTATTAAAAACACTGAAACTAAAACTATTTTACTATTAAAAATTTTATTAATTTTTAGTCATTTTATTGGGGCCTCATACAGCTCTTTACAAAATGCACACACACATCCATCATGTCAAGCATACCTTGTGCATTTCTCTTGATGGCCACGGACATCCGTGCTGCACAAGTTGGTGCAGGCAGATGTGTGTGCATGGGTGTGTGCCAGTGTGCAGATACACAAGCGTGTTGCGCCCTGTGCTGTGTCCCTGTAGAGTGTGTGCATGCCATGTGAGTGTGTCCATGCGGACATGTCCCTGGGCCTTTGTGTACACACCTGCATGTGTGCATACACAGCTGCAGAGGCGGCCTGTTGTCAGATAGGGAAACTGAGTCCTAGAGCAGTCTGACATTCCTAGGGCCATGGGGGTGTGAGGCTCGCCTGCCCTGCTCCATCCAGAGCCTGTCTGAGGGTACCCAGCTTAGAGGCTGCCTACCTCATGCCAGGGAGCTGACGTCCAGGGGATTCTAGTTGAGCGCCTTGGCTCTGGAGACCCACCCCTCCCATGATACAACCCACACGGTGCTCTCTTGACCCAAACCTGGCTGCTTCCCTTCCCTGAGCTCTGCAGCAGAACCTGCAGACCACAAGGGGGCGCCAGGGCCCCAGTCACAGAGCATTGGCCACTGATCACAAGGGAGACTGGCTGGTGGCACCCTGCTCAGGAGGGAGATCTGGGTGAGGGTCTTCCCTTCATCCACTTTCAGCCTGCGACCTCCACTCACCCCCATGTGCGAGCGGGTCCGGGTTAGGGACGCGGCTCTCCTGCGGGTCCTTGCCCAGGGCGCAGGGCTTAAGCAACCAACCCAAACCTGGCTCCTGCATGTAGGGCTTGGGACTCCACATGAGGAGTTCCCAGCCTCCCCTGCTCTAGCTAAGCCAAACTCACCCACCGTGTGGGTCTCCTCACCATAGTCAGTATGATTCACAGTGCCCCCGTAGATTTCCAAGACTGCAACTGTCCTGGGATTAGAAAGTCCAGCCTCTCTCTCTTGGAGCTCCAGGTGGTTTTGAACTGCTGGCCATGAGGATCACAGCCCAATGCATAACCACCAGGGCTCAGAAACCCATGGAGGGGAGGGGGGGCGGAGGGGGGCCCTATGAGTCAGTAGTGACTTGATGGCGGTGAGAGAGTAAGCCAAGACAGCTTGGTAAATGTTGCGACACTTCAGCTGCTCTAACTGGACTCCTTCATTTGGGCCCAGCCCTCCTCCTCCTCGCAGCTGCACCCCCAGGTGCTTGCTCTTGCCCGGCCCTGCAGGGAGGGGCTGCAAGGGAAAGGGGTCTTTGGCTAAGGGCAGCTGGAGACCTGGGTGGGCTGCCCTGTCCACCCTGCCACTCCCAAGTCCTTAAAAGCCCAGTATTGGAGGGTTGGGTAGAACAAATGGTCCAACTGCTGGATGACTGAGCTCAAAGGGCGGGGAGTGGATGATGTTGGAGAAAGCAGACCGAGAGGGACCAAACCTGGGGTTCCTTCTCACCCCCCTCAAAGAGAGAAACCAGAAGTCAGTCCCAGAGCCAGTGTTTATTAGCAAGATGGAATGCAATGCCCGGGGTGGTGTGGCCTGGGCAGAGGGTGGCAGGAGCCCCCCAGCTACCCAGCCACCCCCTCTCCGAGTATTTACACCCAGTGCCCGGAGGGGTGGGCAGAGGGAGGACCCTAAGAGGTCTCAGTGGGTCCCAGGCCACCCTTCCCCTAGGTCTGGGTGCTCTCTTCAGCCCTGCCTGGGCCTGAGCCCTCTGCCCTCCTCCCAGCCCCCAATCCAGGTGGCACAGGGCAGGCTGGCAGGAGATGGAACAGCCCTGTCCTGGCCAGGCAGGGAGGGGAGGGACTGGCCTCCATTCCTCCTGTCCCCAATAAATAGAGAATAAATACCTGAGAAGGGGCTGCCCTCGGCTGGGCGCCCCGTCCCAGGCAGGGGCCGGCCTCCTGTGACGGCCCCTTGTTCCCTCTCAGTGCACCTGAGCCCACCCCCCGCCCCCAGTCTCCAAAGCAGTCCTCGAATCCATGTCTGTGCCGAAGCACTGCTGGACAGCGCAGCCGGTCGGCACAGGTGTCTGCCATCTGGGCCCCGTCCAGGCGGGGCTTCCTCTGCCCCGTCCTGCAGAGCCGGGTGCTGGCTGTTGGCTGCAGGCAGACTCCCACCTGAGTCTGGAGAGGGCGTGGTCCTGGCCCGGTCCGATCCACCAGCTGGGCTGCTGGGTGGGGCGCTGTGTTCTGCTGTCTCTCCTCAGCATGGGTCCAGGTTCTGGACAATGCTGCTGCCACGGAGGCAAGCTATATACAGCCCACCAATAAATACTGTCTCTGCAGGGGCAGGGTATGTATAGAATATAGATATTTTATATATATATATATATATCTTTTATATTAAAAGGGTGAGGACTAGGCTGGCCCGTCGCAGGGCTCGGGTTGCCGGCCTCATGTGTCCGGTGGGTGGTGGCGGCGATTCCGGGGCTTTCTCTGGTCCTGGAGCTCAGGAGGCCTGGGTGCCCCCGGGGCTTCCCTGGGGCTAGGGGGCACATGGCGCCAGTAGCCCTGGCAGTACTGGTGGATGAGGCCCACCTCCGGCTGGGCCAACAGCTGGGCCAGCTCCTGGTAGGGTGGCGTGGGGGGGCCGGCGCCGGGGCCCGGTGGGACACTGGCAGCTGGCAGTGGGAAGAGAACAGCGTGGACGGCATCTCTGGGCAGCACATGCAGCTGCACCCGTGTGACCACGTGCTTGAAGTTGTTCTCTGTGGCTGTGCAAGAGTAGAGGCCCTGGTCGCCGAGCTGCAGGGCACGAAGCAGCAAGCCCTGCTCCGTGCGAAGGAGACGGTCCTCGGTGCGGATCTGAGGGGGCAAGGCATAGGGGGACGCCAGGGGTCCGGTGACCACCTGCCATCCCGACAGCCAGGCCCCAGCTCTGACCACCTGGGTGGTTGGACAGGGCAGCATCCCAGAAGCGGCGCGCGCAGGCATGTGCACACACGTGTCCCACGGGAAGACCAGGGAGGGGCTTCCAAAAGTTTGTAGGAAAGCTCTATGATCTTTTCTTCCCATTTCTCCACCAACTGTCTGAAGCTCCCCCATTCAGCCCCCCACCCCCGAATCGAAGCCAGGCGTGGGATTGCCATCGATGTGGCTACCCAGAGGGGCCCCCAGGTAGAACCTCCATATAAGGAGGGGTGCACACAAGAATGCCTCCCGCCCCCGACATTCCCACAGGACAGGCAGTGGGCTGCACGCGCAGCTTTTCCACGCAGAGGCACGCTGACACGTGGTCTTGGATAAAGCAGGCCAGTGCTGCTCCGTGTGCTGCTCCCGTGTCTGCTTAGCCAAGGACGGCCCTCTCAGGGAGGGAGCCTGGAAGGGGTTCTGCAGAGTGAGGGCTGCCCCAGGTTTGCCCCTGTGGCCAGGCCACTGCACGGGGCGGGGGCCCTGCCACCTTGACCAAGGTGCAAGCTGAGGGCACCGGCTCACCTCGCGGCGCCGGTCTCCAGGGTCTCGCTGGAAAAGCCACTTCACAGTGGCCTGGGGTGAGCGGGGCTGGCACTCCAGGAAGGCGGCACTGCCTGCCACACCATACTGCACCGACTCCACCGCGTTCCGGTTGGCTGTGGTTCAAGAGGGTGCGGAGTGAAATGTGGCCCTGCCTCAGGGCAGACTGCAGGCTGGCCAGGGACACCCACCCACAAAGGCTGCTGGGTGTCACTCCTTGATGGGGGTGGGGGTGGAGGGTCGCCAGGGACACCCTGATCCACCAGCCTAAGCCCCCTCCAGTCCCAGTGACTGTCAGGGACTCCTTCCATTGGGCCAGGGCCACACACATACTCACCGTTGGAGTTGAACCCACGGCACTGCCGGATGGGGTTCCCGTGTCTGACATCCTGCCTCCGGCTCCGTCTGGGGAGGACAACGCTTGAGGCAGCACCACCAGGGGAGCTAGCCCCTCCCTATCCCCCATCCCCCAAGGCAAAGACATTTCCCCGGGGCCAGTGTGACAGAGCCCTGGGGCCTGCGTGTACCTCTTGGAGGACGCCGTGTAGCGGGAGCAGGACTGGCCGTCCCAGGCGCAGTAGGGGTCCCGGGCCAGGCAGCAGTCCGCGCAGGCAGCCCCGTAAGCTTGGCAACGGTGCAGGCTCAGGTGCGTGACACCCACTGCCGAGGTCACATACAGCTGTTGCTGAGGGGGAGGGCAGGGACCCGTCAGCAGCCAGCAGAGGGTCTTGGCTTCCCTTCCCCTGCCCTAAGGTCATGAGCCCAAGGGGCTGCTGAACCCAGCTCTGCCCACCTTGACAGACTCACCCGCTTGGAAGAAATAGTCATGGTTTTAACAGGCGCTGGGTCCTGGAAGAAGGGAGGGGTCAGCTTGGAGGCCCTCCCAGCCCGGGCCAGGGGTCTGCAGCCAGGGGCTTGTGATGGGAGGAAGGGCTGGAGTGAGGGGGGTGGCAGGGAGGTGCACCCACCTTGAAGACCTCGACCTCCTCCAGCATGAGCTCCTCCATCTCCTGGTCATCCTTGGGCAGTACAATGACCTTCTGCACTGTCCCTCGGTCTGGAACAGGTCGGCAGGGCCTCAGTGGGGCTGAGGGAGGGGCACCAGTCCAGCCCCTCCCCCACCAGGGCCCATACCCCCTGAGGGTAGCAGAGCAAGGGGTTTGGGCCAAGGGTCTCCCTACAATAAGGGGCCCCAACAGAGGTCTAAGGTGATGGCCCCAGGGCAAGGGGGCATCATGGTCAGGGCCTGTCCCCCACCCACATCCCTCGCACTGATGTCAACAGGCTTTGAGAGGTCCTCCATGCTGGCGCTGTGGGGGTGGGTCTGTGTCTCCTGTCTCCCCACATCTATCTACCCAGGGTCCCCAGGCTGCCTGGGGATGGGAATGGGGTCGACCCACCCTGCCTTAGCTCTCCCAGCAGTAGGGAAACCGTTCCAGAGGACCAGGGGGGCAAAGCTGACCTGGTCAAGCCTGCAGCCCCCCAAGCAAGGGGGGTCCCAGCCCCATGGAGCATCACATCCCCTGCATGACCTCCCCAGTGGGCCCAGTGTGAGGGGCTGGAGCGGCAGCGGGTACCTGTGCCTAGGAAAAGCACCTCATAGCGCCCGTCAGCCGCGTCCACCTGGTCCACAGCGACGGTGGTGAGCCGGTAGGGGACGCCCGTGCGGACCACGAGGGGCCGCCGCTGCAGTGGGTACACAGCCTGGTACATGAGCGGGTGGCCTCGCATGAAGTTGATCACTTCGTCAGGGTAGTCCTTGGTGGACTTCATGGACGGGGTGAAGGTTCCTCCAGGGCACTGCGGATTGGGGGAGGGGAGGGGAGGCTTCAGAGGGCACTGCGGACAGGGGGCATCAGGGAGGGCACTGCGGACAGGGGGCATCAGGGAGGGCACTGCAGACAAGGGGACATCAGGGAGGGCACTGTGGACAGGGGAGGCGTCTGAGTCAGCTGCCCGGGGTGGTGTGGGGGGCACTGGACCATTAGCTTCAGAAGGGGCCTCTGCACTGTTGCCCGCCTCCTCCACATGCCCCTCTCCAAGCCCCCACCCAGGCTTCTATCTTCACACCCTCTTTGCAGGGCCCTCTCCAGCCAATGCCCAAGGTCCTGTATGGCCAGATCTCACAGCCACCTCCTCAGCTTCATGTGTATGACCTTGTGGCCTACAGCAGGGCTGACCACAGCCTCCCCTGCACGCTGATGTCTCCTTCCTCTCTGGCTGCGCCTCCCAGGTACCCCCTTCCCTCTCCTTCCTGCTCAGCTGGACGGGCCACAATCCCTTAGGTTCCTTAACACCAGGCGCTTCCCCTCTTCCCTGCCACAGACCCGCTGTCCGGGCCCCCGCCCCACCGCCCCCCACCGACCCGGCCTGCTCTAACCCAGCCTTCCAGACTTTGGGAGGAAGCCTGCTGGGATCACCTGGACAGGTGCCCGCTGGCTGCTTCTGATCCGACATGTCCATCCCTGCAGTTCCTGCCCCCCAAAGTTATAGCCAAGTTCAGAGGCCCTGCCCACGGAACCCCCAGCTCCTCCCTCTGACCTGAGGGCCTTCTGAGGGGCAGCCCGCCCACCCGGGGACCCTTGTGTTTGTCTTGGGCTCCTGCGAGCCCTCCACAGCCAATTCTGTGTGTTCTGCAAGCCTGCGTGTGGTGTGCGGCCCCCACCTGCCCCGTGGGTAGAATCTGGCAGGGTCAGGACCACTAGAAGAAAGGGGGGGATGGGCAGGACAAGCCTGCGGGGTCCTCACCGTGCCGGGCCGTGGATAGGGCATCTTCCCTGAGAAAGGCATCCACTGGTAGTTGGGGCCCTCCTTGTGGGCGAAGGGCCCGTTGAAGACCATGCGGATGTCCGCCATGGAGTAGACACAGACCGCGGAGCCTCGGAACACGGAGCTGGAGAGACACAGGCTGGTGCTAGGGGTGGGGCAGCCTGTTGCACCCACAGGCCCCCCCACCCCGCCCCGTCACTGGGTGAAGGCCCTGCAGGAGTCGCACCCCCACCCCGACCCCGTCTGGCCATGCAGCCTGCTGGCCTGGGCCCTGGCCTCACCCCGAGGAGACGAAGACAGCATAAATGACGGGGTTCCTCACGTCCTGGCTCTGCTGGACAAACACGTCCTCTGGGAACACGGGAAGAGGCGCCTTAGCCGGGGGGCCCGGGGCCCCGCCGAAGGCCCCCGCCCTCCTGCCAGGGACTCACGGAGCTCATCGAAGTGGGTCTCGATGCCATCCTCGCCCGGCACGGAGCAGACCAGCCGGGCCTTCAGGAAGGTGCTCCACTTGTTCACCAGGCAGCAGTGACCCCCGTCGTCGTTCTAGGGGCGACGGGCAGGGATCCGGCTAGCTCCCGGGCCCTCACACCCTGCGGCGAAGCTGACGGGAGCC